ATTTAACTTAATATATATATATATAGAGAGAGAGAGAGAGAAGTATTTATTAATTAGATATGATGGTCTTTATGTATAAAAATCATGCCTTGTGCTTGATCAACTATTCTTACAAAGGTAAGTAGCTTGTCATGTAATGACTTTTCAGTGACTCATAAATGTTGATGAGATACTTGTTTTATCATAGTTGTTCACAAAGTGTTTTAAACCACGTTCATGGCTATTTTCTGTCTACCTAAACTTTGAGGTACATCATCTACCAGTTAATTTCATTTTACTACTGGTATATTTTGTAATGCATATACTCATTGGAATCACATAAAACATACTGAGTTCTAGGGATGGTGTTTGTACAGTAACATACTGCAACTTTGATTGTTCTAGTTGCCGTTGTGATTGTAATGATTATTTCAATCGACTACATGATCAATGAAAAGTCAACGACATAATATTGTAAATAAGTAATGTGAGTCATCAAGCACTACTGCAAAGGAAAAAAAAACACTTAAGGTATATTCATTGTAAGTTTCGATCTGTAATCCATAGATGGAAAAATGGATCTTAATGCTGAACGGAAATGCCCGAATGATCTGGAATGGAATGACTGCGGCCCGTGTCCAGCAGCCTGTGAGGACGCCCGATGCGATACTGAAATGCCCTGCATATCTGGTTGCTTCTGTCCTAAGGGGAAGCTTAAATACAAGAATACATGTATAGACGCTGACGCTTGTCCTATATGAAGATGACAAAGTTCCATAATATTCAGTTAGACTTATGATGACAAACTGATCTTCTATTTTGTTTTGTTCACTTTAATCACAAATAGTAGTAACTAATTAAGCTATTTTAGCGTTTTAGAAATTTGCCCTTGAAATAAATGCATTAAGAAATGAAGTTGATTGAGTGAATTTATAGAATAAGTCTCAGTTATGCATTAGTATTTCTGTTTTATTGATTTTTGAGCTCCACATACAACTTTTGACAAAACGAAATAGTCATGAGAAGGCACCAAAAATGAGAAATTCAAGAATTCTGAGGGCTTGACTGAGCCGATCAACTAGAAAATTGATTTTAACATGCACTTGAAAACTATAATCTAAATTCAAACGTTAAAACAAAGATGAATTTTAATGGCTCTTGGGACTGAATACACGAATTTAGATATGAATTCACATAACTATGTAAAGGATCGTTCTAAGTACCTCCCTAATGAAAACAAAATAAGATAAAATACTACACATAAAACTCATTAAATTACATTTCTGTATTCCGTCGGTTTATTGTGATTTAAAACATTTACAAAATTAAATTTTGAATTTCTATCTTAAATCTAGGTTTGTATTCATGATCAATAACAACACTTAACAAGCAAACAAAACTGATTTCATTAGATTAAGCCTTAAAACTATGTTTAATATGAAATTACTCCAACCGTAAAAAGCTAAACTATGAAATACCCCATCTTTAATAGAAGTAGAAGTAATGCATACAATTGAAAACAATCATATATTATTTTTTGTAGATGTTAATATCAGATAATGAGTGCTCCCATCTATTATCTTCAAAACGAATGAAAACGTTATCTTTCATACCAAATTTTTACTGTTAGCTATGCAAGTCAAAGCTTAATTAAAACCACTTCCAAATAATACAGACAGCCATGTGCATAAATGCTTACGATTATATATGATTCACTATTTGTTCTATTTTTGTTTCACAAATGCAAACTAATGAAAAGAAAACTCCACTTTTGTCAAGATAAATGTACTATACATTTTAAAAAATTTTCGAGATTTAAAGTCTTTTACTTTCTTTCATAGTAAAACATGGTTTCCTTAAGGCTAAAAGCATGCTAGGTGTTAATCTATGAGGCGAGGAGCACCTTTTATTAAGTTTTATAATTACATAAGTTCATGAAAAATTATAGATTTTGACTTGAATATCAGAAAGTTTTCTTTATAATACTTATATTAAAAACCAACGTTTCTGAAATGTGTTTTAGTATGAATTATACAAAAAGAAATCGTGCTCCATCCTCAAACCAGACGAAAACAAATGTATTTGGACACTGATGTATTAATTAACGATCACTAGATGGAGCTAGTTATCGGTAGCTGAATATAGTTGTTGTTAGTTTCATTCTTAAACTAACTACGATAATCAAATTTTAAAGAACTGGCACAGAAATTAACAAATCATTTGATATATTAAAATCGCTCAGGAAAGAAATTATAATAGTAGGTTTGTACTATTATTTTATAGAAGAATTTTAACTATAGAAATTTCTAGATGATTGGAACCAATGGCAAGATTAAGTTTAACTTAATTTCAATCGATATCGTGCCAACACTCTAGTTTACTAGTAAAGCAATTTGAACTAAGTTGCCTAGTTTTGAAAATATCAAAATGACCACATTAAGGATTTACTCATCAACATCTTGCTCTGGTTTTCAATCAGGCCTTTGAAAAGTTATGTTTAATGAGACAAAATGTTGTAAGTTAGTTTTAGACGAAAGCAAAAATATGTGTAAAGTAAAAATAACATTAAGATCACCAGGCCAGGCTGGGATCTTACATACAGAGGACTATGTTATATTAAAAGGATTATGAATATCAAATTGACAAGTAACGCACGTGATAGCCACAGCCGATATGAAGCGCTGGTGGAACTGTATGTGTTGTTTGGCGTTACGCAGGTAGCGTTATGCCACCGAAAACTTATTGTAACTTATTGGATTATCGAAAGAAAGCACGGATAAATAGTGTGCTTTAGACATAAAAGTCGGACGACGGAGCTTGTTGCAATGAAATTACGCCGTGGGGGGTATTGTCAAGATTCATGGTCGTCAGATAAATCATGAACGGATGTGGCAACATGAAATGTAAAAATTGTTCAAATATGTACAAGTGTTCCTAATTTACTCACGTGTTGACATTAAAAGTTTGTGCTAATGTAACAGCTTTTATTTCTTTTAAGGAATAATCTAACGATCTAAAATGGCGTCTGTTAAATAAAGGTTTATTAAGTATGTTTTTCTTCTTGCTTTTAATGGGTGCTATGACGGATTTATTATTATGTTTATTTTAGTATCGATGTTTGTTTAAATTAAATTTATATTTAGAAATGTACACAACTTATACTGTTAAATATGTATTGCGAAACTCCTGACTATTCCCTAAATTTGTAGAAGATTCTCAAGTGTAAGAATCAAAAATATATATATGTGTGTACGTAACCGCTAGTGTAGCTTTGTATTTTTATGTAATCTGAATTTTCGAGAAACTCTCCACACGCCAATATATATATATAACCAACGCGACGCGCCTAAAAAACAGTATCTATTATTGGTGTTCCAACAGGAATAAGAGGAGCTAACTAACTAATTAATTAACATGATCTTGAAACCTTAGATAAAGCACAAAAATTCTGTTTCAGTCCTCACTTCTGGTTTTACTACAATATGTACGAATAATCCTTTTAAGGACTTGTCTAGAGTTCTAGATCTATTAGCTGATTCATTAATCGTTAATGTACATGGAAATTGCATTACATAATTTTAAACGTTTTCATAATAAAAAGTATAAAGTCATTTTGTTAATTTTTTATTTATAATCATTTTTATGCTTCTAAGAATGTTCAAAAGCAGGTTGTTGGTCTCCATGTGTGCCTCAATGGCTCAGCGGTAAGTCTGAAGACTTATAACGCTAAAACCGAGTTTCGATACCAGTGTTGGGCACAGCACAGATGCCCTATTGTGTAGCTTTTTGCTTAACAATGAACAAATAAATAAGTTTCCATACGGATACTAAACTAATGATAGAAACTTATATCTTTATTTTCCTAAACCCCTGCTTATGAGAAACGCATTAATTCCACATTTTTTTGTCTTTCACGTCGATGGATGATGTAATTAGTTTGAATAGTCAAAATATTCATAACTTTATTACTACCATATTTCTCGTTAAAATGGAAAAATACTATTATATTTCACAAACAAACATATTACTTATACTTATATGTAAAAATAAAAATAAAAAATACCTCAGTAGAAATAGCTTTCTTATTATGAATGCCGAGGGTTGTATTTTCATATAATATGATTTTTTTTTTCTCTAATGGCTAAATTCTTTTTTTGAGCTAGTTAAATTTTGAAGAATTTGTAAGAAACTTGGAATATTATGTTACGTAGATGGGCTTTTGTTGTAAGATTTAAACATAAAGGTTTTCAACTGTACGGTTTGGTTTGAATTTTGCGCAAAGCTAAACGAGGGCTATCTGCGTTAGCCATCCCTAATTTAGTAGTGATAAACTAAAGGTACGACAGCTAGTCAATACCACCCACCACCAACGAATAGTGCGATTGATCATCACATTATAATGCTCCCACGGCTGAAAGGGCGAGCATGTTCGATAACGGGGTTCGAACCCATGACCCTCAGATTGCAAGTCAAGCGTCCTAAACATCAGGCTATGCTAGGCCCTTCAACTGAACGATTTACTATTTTTATGTAGCAGATATTATTAAAGAATTATTAAAATTCGAAAACAATAATATTTGATAAACAATGTTAACTGTTAAAAATTGTTATAGTTATATATATATATATATATATATATATTAGTAAATAAACAAGTATAACACTATAAATTAG